GGGACAGCCTCCTGCCCCAGACCTCCTGTCCTCCAGCATCTCACCGCAGTCACCTCTGACTCGCCACTCTTTCCACCAGCTGTGTCTCCACCCAGGGCTCTGGACAAAAGGGGAGTTTTTGATCCCTTCCTCCATAACACTTTCCTGAGCTTTGGGCCCCACAGGAAAAAAAAAAGCTCCTCAGCTGAAGGGGCTCGCCTTTCTGTGAAAGCAAGTGACCATGTGGAAGTGTGTTGCTGCCCACGCTTCAGTCCCACAGCGTTGTTTGCTCAGATACCTCCCTCCTTTTCCTTCACAAGCTGGCACACACCCTCAAGCTCAAGAGCCAGTGAGATCTGGGGGATTCATCAGCCTGCTCTCTTAAGAGCAGTGAAGCTGTGCGAGTCCAGAGGGCAAAGGATGGAAGTATCCTGCACCAGCAGCTGCTCCCAGCAGGCCCACAGCCACAGCACACAGGCAGTGCTGCCTTTCCTGCAGGGATGGTTGTGGCTCCAGCCTCCGGCACGCCATGGCCCTGAGCAGCCTTGCTGGAGGCCCACGCTCCTCCCATCGCACCAGGCGGCTGCAGCTGGGAGAGGCATCTTGTGGTCCGGATGCGGAGCGAGCCTGTCATCTCTCCCTCATCGGCACAACCAAGCCTAAAAATATCCTGGGAGTGGGCTGATGGTGGTTGCGCTACAGTCTCCGTTACGCAGATGGAAATGGCCGGTCCCTGCCAGAGCACCCGGGGCAGCGCCAGCTCCTCCACCCTGCACCAGCACAGGGTATTGGGATCCTGTGCGGTGCCTTGGTAATCCCCGTAGCAGAGGTGTGCCAGGGATAGAGCGTGGCACAGAGCATCCCAGCCAGGCACAGCACCACTGCTGGGGCTGTCCCAGCCAGGGAGACAGGCAGCTCCACAGGCATCGTCCCTCTTGGGGGCACAGGACCGAGCAGGGCAGGGAAGAAGGGAACAGGGGGTTTCACAGCCCACTGCCATGAACCCCTAACAATGATGAAATGGGGTGCTGCCCAGACACCCTGTGACACGTCAAAAGCGCACCCAGGCAACCATGCTGACAGCACTGCGGGTGCCAACGCAGCAGGACAGGGCGCTGGAGGGCAACAGCGGGAGAGCAGGCTCAGCCCTCAGCCCACCAGAAAAGCCAGAGAAGCAGAAGAGCATGGCTGAGTTTGCAACCTATCCAGGAAGAGGGCTGGCCTTGCACCCTGCAACATACAGGCAAGGGGTAAAGCTGTCAGCTCCTCCCTTCCCATCCCTGCACGTCCCAAATCCACAGGGCCTGACAGCAAGCACGGCTGCTGATGCTGAGCCTTGGGCAATCGTCTACCCAATAAACCCGACTGAGTGGGAGAAGGAGCAGAGACGCTGCTGGAGGAGCCAGGAGGGACACACCAGCTCTTGTAGGAATGGCTTACAGGGTAAGAGCACAAATCCAGCCCCAAGCAGAGACTCTGGCTCCGACACAGGCTCATGGCTGGCAGGCAGAGCCCGTGCCTTGCCCTGGGGATGCTAGCGGGTCAGGGCAGGAGGGAGGGCTGCTTTGGGAAGGCAAGCACAGCCCTGTCAGGGCTGCCTGACATGTGGGGGCAGTTCACCAACCCATCTCCAGGCTGGCCCCCTACCACCCCAGTGTTCCCAGGATGAGCCCATGGTCAGGGAAGAGCACACTATGGCAGGGGAAACACCAGCCCCACAGCACTGCCTTCATGACAGGCAAGAGGCTTCTTCAGGGTCCAGCCCTATGCGTGGACCAGGAGCCCAGAATCACACAAGGGCTGACAAGCTCCCACCTGGCTACTCTGCCAGCTGCCATCTGACCTGTCCTTGCACCCCAATCCCACCAACAGCCATGTCGTCCTTCCATAGCTGTCTCCTCTCTCATGCTCCAGATTTGGTCAGCAAAATACCTGTCCACCCTCCTCCCAAAGCAACAGCATGTGGGGCACAAGATCTTTTACCCAGCCCAGCAGCCCACAGCCCTCTCAAGTGCATGAGCTCCTACTCTCTTGCCCTCAGGATGCATTTCACATGCTTTCAGCCACTAGACCCGAAGCACCCTCCACATTCGCCACTGCTGTGCATGACTGTGCTGGAGTGCATGGAGCACATCAGCACCCACATGGGCCCTCCGCCAGCTTGCGAGCAGCTGCAGGGACTGTGGAAGAAGAGGGCTCAGGGCAGCCCTGACCTCTGCTGCAGCATCCCTCCTGGCAGCACACAGACACATGTCCAGCAAGCTCCTCTGGCCTCCAGGATATCAGCCCAAGGCCCCAGTGCAGCCAACACCCCATCACCACTGCTGGCCAGGTGCTGGGAGACCCCCCCATTCACTCAGCCCAGCCCACAGGCAGCGTGACTGCTCCCTGCCCTGAGCCACAAGCCCCGCTCCCTCCATCCAGATGTCCCCTGGTGCTATGCTGTCCAAGAGGAACCGCCTGTTGCTCCAGCCCGCAGCCAACCCACACTGATGTCATCCCAGCCTGGCTGGTGTCCCCAGGACGTCACAAGCATCCTGACCCTAAACCTGAAGTGCCACCTATTCACCCCCACCCCGTGCTGCACTTTTGTCAGAGCGCAGGCCAGCAGGGCAACACCCCCAGCACAGCCAAACCTCTCCTGGGCCACGGAGAGGTGTCCCAGGGCCAAGGCCACGCTGCCTGGGCAGCACCTCCCCGAGGAACATGCTCCAGGCACAGACCTGTCTCGCTGCTCCCCGTGCCGGGACCCTTAGCAGCTCCCAGAGCCCTCATGGAGCCATCCCCAGGGAGCAGAGCCCTGAGCAATCTCACCTGCTTGTAGGGCTGCAGGACACGTTGTGCTGGGAGAGGGGTGAGACCGAAACACCTCTGAGGCACCGGGCAGGGCCCAGCCGTAGCCAGGCATCCGATCGCTGGGAAGGGGCAGGTATCCCCCAGCAGGTCCCAGGCACCTCCCCAAAAAGGCTGTACAAGGACTCTTCTGTCCAGCAACTCCTGGAGAAAGGATTGAGGTGCTCCAGCCTGCCCGGAGAAGGAGTGGGGAGCTGCTGTGAGAGGTGAGGACAGTCCAGCCCCCAGGCATTGCCCCGTGGCAGCCCTGCACCTCTCACTGGGAACCATCCAAGCAGCCTCAGCACGGCCAGCACATGACTGGAGGCTGCTTGTTTGCGATCTGCACAGCTGGGCAAGGGACTAATCCAGGTCTCCTGGGGCTGCCCCCACAAATTGGCAGAGGCTGGGGGACACAGGCAGGCAGGAGGGACCCCAAGCAGCTGCCTCAGGCAGCATGGTCCAGGGCAGCAGTGCAGGAGCTGGGCTGCTGGGGAAAGACTCCCCCCAGCACGCTGGTGTCAAAGTGATACTTCACACAGGCACAAGTCCAGCCCAGAAATGGGGCTGTGGGGCAGGAGAGACCTCACTACACTGAGACCCCCTAGTAGGGCTCATCTTGAGAAGTCCTGGGCTCAGCTGGGGAAGGCGAGGAGCAAGAAGCCCTTCCTCGAGCTGGCCCATCAGGTGCTGACGTGCCTGGCTCCCAGCCCAGCAGCTCGGAGCCACGCAGCTCCCATGAACGCCGTCTTTCTTCTCCCTGCCGCACAGCCCTTGGCAGCCCCTCAGCCGCTCCGGCTGCAGAGGGAGAAGAGCCAAGGTCTGTTTTTCTGTCCCTTTCCCCTTGCCAGGCTCTGCACAGAGCTGAGGGCTCAAGTCGGGGCCTCCCCACTGGGGACAGCACTGCAGACCCCTGTTCCCACAGGGATCCAAGAAGGGCCTTCACCTCCAACGAGCAAGAAAGAGCAGGGCTGGCCCCAGCCCCACTGCAAGGACGGCCGAAGGTCCAAGCAAGATGCCCCATGTTACCTCCCCACGTGCAAGGGAGAAAAGCAGAATAAGAGCATTAACTCCCCTGCCAGTCCCCGTGGACACCAGCTGTTAAATGGTGTTTGGAAACATCTATCCAGCTGGAAATGGGAAAGCCAGAGAGGACTTGGGACAGACCCGCCTCTGGCTGCAAACACAACTGCTCTCTTCATCATGCCCTGGGTTTGCTGGGCCTGGACGAGCAAAAGCTGCATCCCTGCTGTGGAGCCAAGCAGCCTGGGCAGCTATCCACTGCAGGCAACCACAGCTCCAACCAGATGGGCTGCTAAGCCCTTCCGTGTAGTTGCTCCTCATCACCCATTTCCTTGCTCTCAGCAGAATGGTCCTTATCTCCCGCAGCAGCACACCAGCACCACGCACCACTCCCATTTTCCACAGCACTGGCTGCAACTCAATAGCTCTGCACATGCAACCTGCAGCCAACCAGCACCCACCACCCACACTAAAGGCACCCATGTCCTGCACCCAGATACTGAGTCACTTTTTTTTTAATTGCTTGTGGCTATCAGTAATGAAGTTTGAGTTAATCCCTGTTGTGAGGATAGGCACAAAAATTAACCCCAAAGGTGGAGAGATACTGTATTCGGGAGAAGCACTAGCACTGGAGGAAATGGCAGTCCAAGCGTATTAACATCAACTCACATTCACAACCATCTGATCGCCATGTATGAAGCTTCTCTGGAGGTCCATGGGTACAACACACCTCCTGCCTCCCTAAGTTCAGCAAGACTGTGGACTTGATTCATTCTACCTGAAGTAGTTTGTTTTAGTCTATAGCATACTTGTATGTAACGTACCACAGTGCAGCCACAGGTACTGCTTGGATATGAGACTGGCTGGTACAAATTCTTGAGCTGCAAAGGCATGTTTCTCCTAACTCTATATGGAGGACTTCAGCCTGGGTATGAAAACATCCCAGCACACCAGCACCCACCTTTCCTACAGCCTGTGAGAAGGCAGCTCTTCCTTCAGCCAGCAGTGGGGATGAAAATGCATGCACAGCATGAGGGACCCACACTGGGTATGCCAGGCAACAACTCAAGCGGGACTAACTCCCCCAGCCAAGGTGGAAGAGCCCGGACAGCAGGCCTGTTTCATTTCTCTCTTGCATCGTGTACCAAGGTGTTCGCAGCCCACTAGAATAATTCATAAAAGTGAGAACTTTGCTTAAATGCAGAATTACAGGCCAAGGACACCTCTTTTCAGACTTTCCTACCTTCACTCAGTTTTGTCTAGAATTAACACATATACAATACCATTTTAATCTTTTTCCAGTACCACCCTACATATTTCCCTTGTTCTCCAGGTGCTGTCAGAACAGTTTTGACTTCAGCATTGTCACATTACTCATGCTGCAGCAAGGCGGCTGTGGTGATGTTTCTGCGTGGATCTGCTACAGGTTCCTCAAAAGATAGCCATCAGGTGACTGTTTCCCATTCCTCTGTAGACCATTCCGGTGAGGTCAAAGGCAAATACTGATACACACTCTCAGCTATGCTCATTACTGGAACCAAGCAACAACACACTCACCACACCTAAGTGTTGCACTCTTCACTCATCCGAAGGAGAAATCCAAAGCTGCTGAACAGCTCTAACAGCAATGCAAAGAAATTAAGAATAATTACAGGAAAAGAGGAAAAAGGCTTATTTTGACTTTTAGCAATACACCATGTTGTTCACGTTGAACCTAAAATACTACACACTTTACACTAACCTATCTGCACACATTTAAAGTTTCTGTGCAACGTCTACAAATTTGTCACGGAAAAGGAGATGTTAACATTTCCCCAAACTACAAAAGCTGGCTCCAGGAATACCTGGCACTTTAGGCTCCAAAGATATGGGCTGAAATAATACTACAATGAATAAGCAATTTACTCAAGGTCACCCAGTGTATCAGTAACAAAAATCCCTGAGCTAAGGTAGAAGAATCTCCTTTCTCTGCCTGCCAGTTCAGCAAGTCTTAACCAGCACTGTGAAATTCAAGAGTCAACACTGAAGTAAAGAACAGAGCTGTTTGACTCTGCACCAGGTAAGATTTTCTGATGACTCCTCTGCTGGCACTGCCACCTGCAGCTACAGAGCGAACCTAAGGCAACTCAGCTCTTACTGCAGATGTCTCAGGTCTGTACTTCAATGAGGAGGGACGATTATGGCTCTGGCCCTGTTCTAGCTGAACAGCCACGCTGGACTGAGTCCTTAACAGAACTCCACTTAGCATCTCTGAAAGACACCTGAGAAGTCACTGGATAAGTATTAAGGCGATGCTTAGAAAGGAATAATGCTAACAGAAGAATTGGAAGCACGATGAGAATTTCCAGGTTACATTGCTTTAGTTCTTAAATTAGTCTACAGATTGTCCATTTTGAAGTTAGATTTATTACTCGATCAAATTGAAAACAACGTACAGGCTACCAGAGTCTTGATTTCATCCCGTGTTTGCATTAAAAAACAAGCACAACTGCAGACATGTCAGACAACAGAAGCCCAGTTAGAGAATGGAAGAACAGAGATGCATTGGAAGCCTTGGGATATGTGGCTATGCTCCTCAACCAGTGCAGAATCAATTCAACCCAGCTCAAAACACTGGGAAGAAAGAGGAGCGAGGAGAATGGGTCCTACTACTGATGGTACTATCTCTGGTCATCTAAGGGGTCTGCTGATGGAGAAAAAGGTCTCCTAGAAGTCCAGCCACAGGCAGAAACATTACTGCAGTCAGGTGCTTTACAAAGAATACAGTCACCTTTTTAAACTTTACAAAAAGTAATCACTGGCTTGCCAAGCTCATCCTGAATTGAGGGCAAGCCACTATCAGTTTATAATAAAAATGCTTTTTATGGGTCCAGCCTGAACCAGCCGCAGATGGAAGCTTCATGAAAAATGAAGTGAGGTCTACTGCCTGCAGCAGCACATGCAACAGACCTAACGAAGGGCCATCAGAGCTCCCATGGGGCATATTGAGCGTGATTTCCTACTGAACACATTGAAGAAGCACCTGCCTAGCTGATACTCTGGCAGCACCTTGCCCTCATTGGAATGATGCTGTAACAGGGATAAATACACTTCCAAAAACAAACCACTGGAGAAAATTATTATCAGTCAAGATCAAAGTCCAGGTAACGGAAAGCATATGTACCTTTCAGACAGCTGCTCTGTAAAGAGCTTTTATTGCTACCTGTTATACTTCAAGCCATAAACCCAATTTTTTTGCAAAGTCAAATAATATAGACCCGTCAAACATTAGGGTCACCATTTTTAAGTTCACAGAGAGAAGCCAAAATGCAGTTCAGTCACTGCAGTAGGTAAAGTACGCTCACATTTGAACGATGCAGCACAAGAACTGACAGGAAAATTGGGAAGGCCCTTTGTCTCAGAGTGCAGGATGGCAGCAGTTTCCAACACAGTGCAGCCAACTGACAAGAGCAAATCTGGAGCCTGCAGAAAACATGGCATAACAAAGCTCCTCTTCCAGAACAAATACGGGGCATAGGAGCTCTTGAAAGTCACTCAGTACTGCTAGAGGTGGGTGGCAAAACTTGCTGCAGTTGAACAACAGCACTCCAAACAAATCCAGCTGTTTTGTACTAGGTCATCATTTTAGAATGAAGCTGTCAAGCCAGGTGTTTGCAGCACAGGTAGCACATGGCACCTAAAAGGTGCATTTAAGTTATATGGCAGTTTGGAAAGAAAGCCTGAACACAGGCACCTTTTCTCTGGAGGGAGAATGGCAGATGATACAATGAGTATGTTTTTCAGTAATACACAGGTAGTGTTCAGCCTACAAGAAGTTAAGATCAAATCTTAAGATACGCTGACAGAACAGAGGCAAGGTTGTTAAGGCCCTGCCAGCTCTTCTCCACGTTTGCTCACGGCATGTCACTTCAGAGAGGTTTACGTACAAGCTAAGACATCAAAGTGCAATTTCGTTCCCATTCCCCAGACCAGAGTAACTGCAGCTACTAGACTCTGGTCTTAACAGACCCTAGTTTTATCAAGCCAACTATCCCATTCATCAGAAAGCGATTTAATACCTGAGACCAGGAGTTTTGGACATGGGAAAAAGACAAAAAAAAAACCCACAAAGGAAAGCCACTGTCTCCTTTCAGAATCTGTTTAAGCCTTCCAATACTGATGAACAGGTATTCCACCACAAAAATGGGACAGAATACCTCTACGCAAAACAGTGGTTGTGCAAATCTTCGCTACTCATATCAGCCTCCTGACCCTATAAAAATGTAGGGATAAGTAAGATTTTCTTTATAAAAGTTGTAGTTTATTTCTTTTCTGATCAAGAGTTGTATCACTACACCATACTACATTTTATTGCTAATCACAAATCGATGCACCGGGGTTTCAGAAGAGTTTGGTTTATAGCGTTGCTATGTAACAAAAGGAAAAAAGTTACAAATCCAGGCTTTGCAGACACATTGCCAAGTCCCTATAGAAGCAGGGATGCATTACGTCTGTTTCACTAGAAAATTCTCCTCTTGAACTGGTTCTGGAGAACACATAACCATAGTTTTCTCCAGCAGGAAAAGTCACCCCATCATTCCATGCAAAAAGAAGGTGGCCAATCTGCTCCACAGCCTAAAGTCCCTTTCCTACAGAACGGGAAAGGAACATGTATTTACATGGCTCCTACTGTGGTGCGCTAATGCTTAAATTACTAGGAGCAAGTTGGCACATCTTCCGGGCGCACCTACTACCCAGCTTAACTCAGCTCCCTATTGCTGGGGTAGCAAGTTCTCTCCAACACAACTGAGATGTGCCCTACTAATACTCTATAAAAATGCTGCGGTAACCTTTGCCAGACAGCAACACAGCAGCACTCCTGCTTCAGAAGAGCATTGCACAGCCTTTCAGTAATACATACAGTTCAGTGCATGCTTTATCTGTCTATCTGTCTCAGACCCAATATTAGCTGTTGTAAGCAAAAGCCTGCAGCCACACGACAGACAGTGCTGCCACAGAAGAGGTACTGCACTGCTTCAGATACTGCTGCCCTGTCATCCCCAATACTGTGATGCTTGGATTCAAGAAGGGAGAGTTAGGACTCTGTCCCTTCAGTTATTATTGCCTTAGAGGGGGTGGGGAGAAATTCAAAAGAAACTCTTTGGGAGCTAAATGTCTATTGGGAGCTGAAACCCTATTCTTGTTAGAAGGCTGCACTGCGCAGGGCTCCAGACAAAGATTCATTGATTCTGAGGCACATACTATTACAGTTAAACTTATGATTAAGTCAGTCAAAACAAGTATCAGAACAAAAATATTAAACGGAGGGTTAAATAATTTGTCTTATAGGATTCAATTTCACATTTCACCTGTTCACACAAGCACCTCCTGTCTGCTTGGACCTGAACAGCCTATAGCTCAACCCTCAGAAAGGAGGTGCTGAGAAACAAGAGACTGAAGCTGCTTGCGACAAAAAAGATGGATATAAATATAAAAAGAGGTTCAATTTCAAGCACCAGTAATACTGCCTGCTCAAGCCCAGGTGTGGTCACCAGGGAGACTCCCAAAATCAGGAACATTATTCAATTAAAACAATAGACTGTACTATTCTGCAGCTGCCAAGATTCCTGGCTACAACTCTCAGAAGAGTTTGCCACCTGTCAAAATTGTCTCTAATAAAAAAAGCAAGACTGCTCGACGAGATGAAAGCAACACCCCCAAGCTGGCTTATTCAGTAAGGACCCAACTTCAGACCAGGAGTCTGCAGGCATCAGCTTCAGCAAATGGGATCTGTTTCACTATCCAACAGCTGCCTTTCAGCTACTGCAGAGCATCAGCTTTTTAGCTTCCTTAAAAAACAAAACAAAAAAACCCTGGATTCGAAGCATCCAAATATGGCCTGTTGTACTGGAGCATTTAAATCCTTGGGGGAGATGGGCATCTTCTTCCTCTGCCACAGGCAGCGCTTACTCCATGATGGCCCGGTACAATGCAGGTTCAATGTAATCTTCACGGTAGCGTGAATTGATCACTCTTTGTCTCTTCCTCTCCTGTCTGACCTCCTTCTCTGCGAAGATCTCTGTGAAGCGCATATCTGAAGCTATTGACTAAGAGAAAAAACAGAATTAGTCACTAGAACACAGATCAAATCCTTGCCTCCATACCCTCCTACTGCATGTAAGAAAGAACCAAGTCAGGACGTTTAGGAACATCCAGCTGCCTTCAAAAACTGACCAAACACAAGAAGAAAAATATTTAAGAAACTGGACTTAAAAGTCTGGGGATAAGTTTAAGTGAACTGTAATCAGAGATCTAAAAAAAAAAAATCACAGGTTTCAAATTTAACTGAGTAGCTGATTTAAGTTCACAATCACTTTCTTAAAGGAATAAACACACTCATGTGTTCCAACTTTCAAGCAGTCTAGTACATTTTGTGCCTTATGGAGCAGGCATGTTTAAACACCTGGTCAGGATTCAGCTACCATACATTCTTTCTGAAACCTCTAACATCCTATGTGCCTGCCAACAAGTTCTGCATTAGGGTGTGCATGATCACTCTGTAAAGCAAGATACCATAGCACGCGGTCCGTAGTTCTGTTTTTTATAATGAGAAGCATAAAGCAACAGAACAGGGACCCAAATGGGCTGTGCAATCTCCATCCTTGGAGATAATCAAAACTTGACTGCAGAGAGCCCTGAGCAACCCTGTCTGACCTCAAAGTTACCCCTGTACAGGTGTGTGGAGCAGCTAACTGCAGAGGTCCTTTCCCACTTGAATTATTTTACAATTTTAAAAAATGGCCAGCTCTTTTGATGCCACCCTACTAAGAGCTTTTCAGAGCAAAAGGTAAGTGAAGGAACTTGGCCATTCTTTGCACCGGGAACAGACAATGAAACTTAACGAATACAGGCATGAAAACGTACTAACGTGCTGTCCCAAACAGTGACTCTATGCTATAAACTCCCATCTCTGCAGAACGAAAATTAAGGCCTCTCCAGTGCAAGACAGAACTTTGCTTTTGTAGCCTGATCAACTACCAAGCTTCACAAAGATTGAGGAGAGCATCAGACTGTAATCTTTTGCTGCCATGCACTCAGCTTGTTGTTCAAGGACAAATTAAGTTAAATGAGTTTCTTTAGTAGAAGTCTGCACCCTGTTTACCTACCAGCCTTGACTTCACTCTCTTAGGAAGCTCCTCTTCAAGAGTATACACGTCATCCCTTTTCACCATCAGCTGTGACCCATCTTCAAATTCCACCTAGAAGAAAAACAGAAGTTGTTCTGCCAGAAGTCTCAGAAGTTAGAACCCTCCCACAGCTACCCAGAACTTGCCTTCTCCTCCCCACAGAGGCCTCTCAGGAAATAATCTTCTACCACTTGAATTTTATAAGATACATATGCAGGTATGCACACTGCAACAGACTTTAACCAAAACCTCACTAAGCCCATGACAGTAAAAGAAGCCCAGCAAGTTTTGGGATATTCTTGTAACACCTGAGAAGACAGTCTGGCTCGTCACTTTAACATGGCCTTAACATTCATCCCTTTGGAAGTGTGCAAGGCATGATGGACTCTCACAAAACAGAGAAAAGCAAATATCAAACATTTTAGGTAGTTTAAGCTACAGGGACAGAGTCTGCTGAAGAACTGCAGATCAGCAATTTTTCAGAAGCTGACACTTTCAAGTAGGTAGCCAGATATAAGTAGAGTTGCAAGCAACCACTTTGCACTTAACTCCAGCAACTGTTACCAGCATCTGGCATTGCTGACAAGACTGAGTAACTTCCCCTGAAGTGTTTAAGCATGACTGCCCTATAGCAACGTGCACTTTAAGAACAGCGCTGTTAACATGATGAGCTTGTTATGAATGATCAATTTTCAGACAACAATTCTGTACCTGGTACATCTGGATGGCATGTGATGCGACAAACTTGGCTCCATAAACTTGTCCATCTGTCCATCTCACCTGCACAACTTCCCCTTCAGCAGGGGGACCTAACTGAAGACAGTCTCGACTCTACAGGATAAAGGAGGAAGGTGGGAGAGACAAGGACAAGGGTAAGAAGCTTCCTTACGTGAAGATTCAGCAAACCACCGGGGAGTCTATCCCAGTCACATCGCACATCACCCCAACAATTACTCCATTTTAGAAATGGAGAACTAGGCTGAGAGACATCCACCTATATCATCTGTATTTAAATCCCAGTATAGTGGGCCCAACTTCAAAGTACTTCATGCAGGAATGGTATGCAAGTATCAGCAAGTTTTCCTTCAGACCTACCACTGTTAAGCAGCCAAAGATTAGCTGCACTCCTTGTTACACCTGTTCCTGTGTGCCCTCAGTTAAGTCACTCTCATGTAACACCCCTAAGGCCATCTTGCAGCACATGTCAGCCACAACACAACCTAGGGTAGGAACAATTACCAAATCCCCTGGTGTGTTTGCTCTGCAGCAGCAAGAATGAACTTGCATCATGTGCCCTCTACCGGAGCCAGATTCCCACTGCATAACATACCACAATGTCCTCTGGATACAGGTTATCACTGAAGGAACCATCATCAAAGTTGACCTCATAGAAAGTCTCCTTTGCAAGGCTGACCACTTCACATTGATAGAAGCGACCATTCTTGTGCTTGCTGATGACTATCTGTCCAGGTGACAGATCCTGGAGTGCAGCCTTAGCTCGCTGAGAAAAGAAAAATCACTTTTTACACAATGACTCAGTAAAGAATGTGTTGAGGACCATAGCTCCAGTGCTGGCAGACAAGGAAGCAAAATATTTTAGTTCAGGTGAGTAACTCTACGCAAGACACCATCAGCAGCATTTTTAGAAGAGTTCTGTCTCTGGAATTTCAAATGCTTAAAGTCTGATCTGTTAGATGCTGCTGTCCTTAATTTACTCAGTAAATTAAGCTCTGATTCTCCAGAGCAATGCAAGGCCTTTACAGTAAATATTCTCTAATAGATTGTTGTGGTTTTGATGGCTAAAAGGGCTACATGGGAACTTCATAAACTAATCAATCACTTAAACATGAAATTCTATGAACACTCACGCAGCCCGCTGGAGTCCCAGCACTAACTCCTGCATATTAAGTATCACAGCAGAAACCCCGCTATTACTCCTCATTACAACAGCCACAGGAGGGATGTAATGCTCTCAGTCCTTCTGGGCTGCAAACCAAAATACAATAAAGGACCTGACTAAGAACACTCAGAGCAGCAGCAAGGCTGGGATCAGAATCCAAGACCAACACTGTTAGATTATACTGAACACTGTGCGAGAGCCAAGCCTTCAATGAAGTTTTAAAAGAATCACACAATCTAAAACTTCTCAGTCCCTCCAAGATACTGCAGTTCAAATCCTGGGAATCACACACCTACTCACCTCTGCCTGAGATGGAATCTTATGCCTGAAGCAGGTAATGAAGACAACAAATGGCCAGTCATCAGGCTGCATCATGACTCCTGCTGCTTGGGCACAGCTGACATGAAAGGATGTGGGACACCGACCATGTGAGCACTGTACACAGCAACCTGCAATTCTCTTTCTTCGTTTCTTGCAGAAGATGCATTTCTGTGGACAGGAGACTAGAGGTTATCGGTTGGCACTAGCTTTTACCCCACACAAAGGGCTAGCTGGTCTAAGAGTCTGATACTGTCCCATTTACTTTCTGTGAAAGCACTGCTACTTTCTGAACAAAAAGAAGCAAAAGGCTACCAGTTCTAGTTTATGACAAGGCAATAATTCATAAGTTTAAGTAACCCCACAGACAAAATTGTACATTAAATATCTACCAGCTCAACATGCACAAAGCATGCAACCCAAGGATGCTAGCAATGGGAGATTTTGGATTAAATCAGCCTACAATGCTCCACAGTGAACAAGGCCTTTCAGCACTTGGCTATTAAGTCACACAAAGACAAGCAACAAGATTAGAATAATGGGCAAAGACCACAGAAGTAACAGTTAAAATTCTGTCACTACTACCAGGCACCCAGTTACACTTGGGTCAGGCCTGATGGGCTTTTGTAGGAAAAAATGTTATCTGTAATGCATTAGCATATACAAAGCAGTTAAAATCATTTCCCCCTCAACACTGAGCTGTTAGAAGAATTAAGTACAGTTGCTTTCTTGCTGAAGACATTCCCCCATTATACAAATGCCTCGCATAACCTGAAGCATCTCATTGCTCAACAGCAGTCAATAAAGCAAGTTAAATACTAGGGATTAGAAAAACAACAAACAAACAAATATCACTACTACACCACTGTATAAATGTAATTTGCCACATACTGAAAACTGCGCCCCCCTTGCTGGCTCCTCATCTGAATAAACACATACTAGAACAGGGAATGGTTCAAAAAAATGGCAACAGGGACAATTGCCATTTCCCATACAAAGAACAGAGCAGATTAAATTTTTCAGTCTGGAGAGAACTTGGGTTAAAAGGAATAAGCAAAGTCTCCCAGATTCTGAATGGACTGAAGAGACACTTTGAAACCCTACCAGTGAAGCACAGGTGATCCTTACCAGTCTGAAACGTTGCAGGGGGATTTTGCCAACATCTACAGGACTCCGCTCTGCAATGTTCACAAATTTTGCCTCCAGTACAGCTACAGCACACATCACATGAACCCACCTATCAGGACAGAAGAGGGGAAAACCAAATTAATACGCATTAGGCCGAGAGAGGATGATTTGGAGTTTAAGTAAACACAGTTCTGTTGAATTTTGCCATGTAAATCATAATAAATAGCCTCTGAGAACTAGCAGTGTAATCTTCCTTCCTGCTGCAAGTGACAGGGCACATGTGGGGCAAACCCAAGACTGCTTCATACTTCTAATCTACTACTAGAAGTAGTAGATTAAGTAGGCTTAACAGGAGAGCAATTTAGTGTGGCTTCTGCTGGTTGTATACCTGCATTATAAAAGCCTGCCTGATAATCCTCTGTCAGAAGGTACTGAGAGATGTTACCTCATCAGGAAACTTATTTTTATGTGGTACATTATACCTCTGCACTATAAAATGCAAAGCAAATAACAGCTGCTGTCAACAGAATGAGTGAGGCATTACCTGAAGAGATGATGATTGCTGCATGTCAACACAATGTGAACACACTTTACCACAGCTCCCCCACTAACAGAAAGCGTGAAAGGTGTTGTTGGTCACTCTGTTACACCAAATGGAGACATTGGCTTTACTAGGTTACCCTCAGCTACTTAGGAACTGAGCTTCTCCCTAAAGGTCAAAAAATCTGGAACACTCACTTGTCATCATTGGCTCTCTGCAGTGCTCCTCCTCGTAATGAACACAAACAGCAGTCCTGGCACAAGGAAGAAAGCATTAGCTGGAAGAGTGAAGTCCACAGTGGTACACTTGCTTCAGAACTTCCTCCTCAAAATGCATGTCCAGAGGAAGAAAATGGTTTCATGGTCAGAAGAGAGCCAACTACCTTGTACAGATCAGCCCTTTAGCTCTCAAAAGCTGCTACCCCTTAGGGCAACAAATATAGACTCAAACTCTGTTGAAGGCAAGCAGACCTACCACTGAAGACTTGTTCAACTTGTTTGTTATGGGTTCCTTTTACAACCGCAATACCCCATATTCTTTGAGGATGCGTAAAAGGATCTGGAACAAATAGGAGCAAATACAATTCGAAAGGCTGACCCATTCTGCTGACCTAGAGTCTATATAGTTTTTTGAGGGAATCCCACTCTTCTTGCTGCCTTCACAGGTGCACACCTCCCTAGTTATAAACAGAAGTTACTTTCTGTTTTAGAAATAGTAGCTACCATAAATTAAGACAGACAATGGAGCTATTTCCCACATTCATGCAGAACATCTTCCCTATGACTCAAGCGAGCTCAGCAGCTTTGCACTAGTTAAAAGGATTAATCACTATGGCTTAAAAAACACCAAAATACAAGAGACTGGCTCCTAAACATTCTCTAAATTGCCTTCTTTTCACAGGAGAGAATAAAAAACAAACCAAAACCCCAAAACAACAACAAATCACTATGGAAATTAACTTTGTAGCCAAGTTCCCAAATGTACCAGATTCCATCTGTGAGAATCTTATGAGAAACTTTACCTCTTCTAAGGCATTTTCTGTACACCTGGAGCACATCCAGTCTTCAGTGGCCTTGTCAGGGGATACACCATAACAACCTGGAACAGACACATCTCACTTAAGAGCTTACCTAAACTCAGACCCATGCCCCTAGGGCCCAGAAGTAAAGCAGGAAGTTAAATCAACGAGCCTCAGGATTATGCAGTCAACTCCATATTTCAACGGCCAGTACCATCAGGTGAGGGCTGAACTTGATCTGTTTGCACATTAAACAGATGGGTAGAGGCTTGCTATGACGTATAGACTTACTATAGAGAACACTAGAGTTTAGGGTTAAGTCTAGACGCACTCACTTGCATGAACACAGACACGGCAGTTCTTGCAGGTGATGAGTACGCTGGTTCCATCTTCCTCTAAGTAGGGCGTTGAAAGATTGACGTCAGTGCTGCAGCCAGTTGTAGTAAAGCACATTTCAGGAATCAGGGGTTTGGTTCGGATCTTCCCATCCACAGCAGCTGGAGCTACTCCAGAGTTTTGACTGTTGCCTCCACACTCTGCCTATAAAAGATGGACAGGGAATTTAAGTTTTACAAGTAAAACCATCTCACATCATCTTTACTCACCCATTATTCCATACATAAATCCAGTTTAAAGAAAGAATGATGGTACTGAAAGACTAAAGAGTTAGGTTAGGTGAAAATGTAGTTAGTTTATAAAATCCTCAGCTCCTACAGCTTCAGAATGAAATTATTTTCTACCCAAATGGCAAAACGTAAGGTCTGAACTGCATCCCTCTAATGAGCAACAAGATACACATCAAACTGCATCTGTTCTGACAGAAGAGAGGGAATCACCAAGCCCACCTCATGTTCTACGGGCAATACCTCTGCTGCATTCCTCCCACCCTCTAATACAAAGGATCATAACACTGCTATCCAGCATTGTACATTTAATCTTACCTCAATATGGGAGGATTATGATCACACAAACAGATACCTACTGCAATCCCCATTATTTTTTCCTAGTGTAGTTCTGAGCAAGCCTAACAGCCTTTGATATTAATTTGTCATGGGAAATAAGCAGACTAAAAATGCAGTTTCCCAGTTAAAGCTCAGGAGACTTCCAGCTAATCTTTTGTAATTTATTCATCTAAACCAATGTCAAACTAAACTGCAATTAGATGTAAAGTTTACAGAGATATGCTTCCATTCAAGTTACCATTCCTAACAGCTAAATAGAAATTAATCGTTCTCTTTGAAGAAATGTTTCAAACCATCTTTTGCACTTCACAGGCCACCACAAAAGTAGTTTGCCTCATCTTTTAAAAATATTATTAGAAGAAATTGCAGTAGCAGAATAAAGCTGCACTGTCCCTCCTACAGTGCATCAAGAAGTAGGAAAAAAAAGTCCAGGTAAGCGTCATATTTGGAAGGAAACTGACATGTTTTCAACAAGTCTTGTTTATTCAGATTCTGTAAAACTTACTGATTTACACTGAACATTGCACGTCAAGCAAAAGACTAAATGACTGAGGGAAAGCTATAACAAAGTTGAAGAAAATATGACTTTTTTTTTCCAAGCAGCTAGATACTTTTCTTCTTCACAAAGGAAGAGTGACTATTTGTCTGGCATTTCGTGCCAGTTTTTAACTGAATGGGTAACTGAAGTGAGTTCCCAGACTTCCTATAGACTTTCTGAAGTTGGAACAAAGACCCTAACCACAGCTCAAATCCTGGAAGACTTTCTGCTTCACCGCCTGGTGTAGACAGACATTTGAAAACCTGAAGCTACAGTTTTCTGCTTAATAGCATTTAGAACTCAAAAAAGAAGCCAACAGAACTTAAACTGTCCTCCAATTGTTAACTTTATACACTGTCAGCACTAGGGAAATCCCAACGTACTATGCAGCTTCTGTGTAGAATTTCCAGTCTTAATAAGAGTCTACTCTCAGACAGAAATAGCAAGATTGAACAAAAACTATGGTCTACGCTTTTCATGGAATTTTGGAACTATACGAAATAGAAACCCTCAACAAAAATTTGAGGTCTTTATTTCCAAAACTGTGGTGAACACATTCCTAGTGCCACCATAATCATACAGTGATCTCAAATGAATCAAATATGCTCAGCACATGGGAAGGAACAAACTACCTTTAAGTTGCAGGTTGAGCACACAATCAAGAAAACTATTCCAAGCTACCTCAAAATTACATAGCTTTGGCACAGCAAAAAATTTAGTGTGGGACTCCTGCCTAAGCATTTAGTCAACATGACAAAGGGGTTCTGCAACCCATCTCAAGCTATGCGTTGCTACAGCTGCACTTTGTTAAAGAGAATTTTCACATGCCATAGCTACTGTCAATATGGATATACTCCAAGAAAAGACAGCTTTCTATCTATGCCATCCACAAACACAACCCTATATCCTTTTAAGTAAAGGGTTTTCTTCCTTGCCAGCTCCCCAAAGACCATGTGCTATGAGTGGATGTAAAGTGTTTTTCAAAGAATTGTAGAAGTGAAGGTGTCAGTGCAGAAGAGAGAAATGGGATTTTATAGTCAGCTCCAGCAACATTCAAGCTCCATTTTGTGGTTTGAGAAAAAACCACAGAACACAAAAACTTCTGCTGAACAGCTGAGCGAGTCCCTGGGAACCCACAAGCAGTCCCTCACAGGTATGGTGAGGTTCACCCAATTGTGCTCTCCTGGAACAATTCCTTGGGAAGACTGCAACACTGATACAGCTTTTGCTAACTGGCAATATGCAAAACGACATTTTTAAAACTATGCATCACGGCAGCAACCTATTTGGTTATCTCTATGACAGTATTAACAGACTTGGTCTACATACCTGATACGTCTGGAAGAGCATACAAACAGCACAGTAAGGAGACTGCTGAGCCATGGTCCGATTGTATTCTTTTTCGGCCTCAAAATTTGGTGGCCGATTCTGCCACAGCTGGCTAAGTGGCTTGGCCCATGCTTCTGTCTCCTCAGCCTCTTCTTCAGGAGTTAGCTGCTCTGATGCCTCTGCAATAAGAGGTCATTAACTCAGTGATTATATGTCCTTTTATAGATAACCTTCTTGCAAATGAAAATAAGTCAAGAAGTTACGAATGAAGATGAAAGAAAGACTGCCAGAAATCAAACTGACAGAAGAGTGATGGGAGCCAGTAACTCAGTCTTCTTTTTAATAGCCTTCTACTAATCAAGCAACCATGCAAACACAAGATAGGCTTATTGGGTGAGAACAGCATCAGCTCTAAATTACAAGACTAAGGCTGTCAGTCAAAGAATCTGGTGTTGTTGTTTTGTTTTTTTTTAAATCATGAATATTTACATCGATTACTAGAATGCTCTAAGGCAGATGCTATTAAGCAACAGTCTCTGGTACCAGTTTAATTTTCTTTTCAGAGTTGTGACTTTCCAAAGAATGGAACAAGAAAGAAAGAAGATACCACTTGAGAGAAAAGTTTAATGATGCAAGCACAGAAAAATGAGATAACCACCTTGTCTAGGATGCAGAAGTGTCACTTGCTGACTCCTGTTCATCGCCAGTTACTTAATGGAATACCCTATACTGTACACAGAAGCTAAGACCCTCTCTACAGTTTCCCAAAGAGCACAAGGCTTACTTACCGTCATCACTAATGCAGTCTTTAACCAAGAGCGGGTGATGGCGTGGCAGCTTGCTCAATGGCTGGCGACGACCCTTGGACTTCTTACTCTCCTTCATTGATCTTATGTACTCCTTTGCTACCTGGAAGAGGAGAAGCAATTCAGCAGTCAATTAGCATGTGTCCTTTTGACATTATTTTTAAAGGAATTTATTTTGAACTTAAATATTCCTCCACAAAATGCACACATGCTTCCATAACTTTATTTCTATCAAACTAACTTCAGCTCTAAACTAGCTAAGTTTCTGAAAGAACTGGTGCAGCAGTTTTGCTAGGGAAAACCAGACAGAGCTGTACTAACTCTACTGAGCCATTAGAATGGAGACTTTTCACAGGTCCCGACATAGCTTTTCATGCAAGTCTGTTTATATAAGAATCATGTAAAAGACAGAAACAAAAAAAGACAATTTGAATGGTTCAACTTAGAAGAGTCACTCATTCTGGAAAAATCCTCAGTTTGTGTGTGAAATTAAAAATTCCAAATTTAAAAATAAAAAATAGTAAAATGAAAAACAAATTACAGAGTTCACTGGCATCTGGAACTAACAGGCTTATTTTAAATGAAGGAAAAACTTTCACCTTCTCTGCTTATTACTTACATTGATGTCTTTCCAGACAGACTGAAAGAAGGAGACTACAACAATAGTTAATTCCTCTTCCCCTTAGCCTTATGTAAAAATAAGTGACACACTGACAAAATTACTACCAACCTGACAAGCAAGACAATGATTTTAACAGCCCAGGCAGCCTCTCACTAGATAAGAACTGCCCCCCCCCTCCCCCCCCTTTTCTTTTATAAATCCGTTATTCCTTTAAGAACACAAGCAAACCTTAGATTAAATGCATCTTACATTTTTTTTAGATCACTTCCTTTTCATAAAAGAAGCCAGAAAAGAGCATAACAATCATTATCTCTCATCTCCTACATAGAGTTGGATACGAGACTTCTAAGAAACAGAAATGCTTTTATTCAAATGGAAATTAGCATTCCCAGTTGCCATCTGATGGAAAATTTGTTTCAAAATACACCACACTGGAGAAAACTATCTACACCCATTCAAAATTTCACCTTTTCCCTACATGGAGTATGCAATGGAGACATCGGTATCAGCAACATAATTTCTTTAGTTTAATTATCCATGAGAACTCTTTCTCAGTTTCAGCTTAAGTATCAACAGATTTGCCCATTTGCTGTTCTGTTTCTGTAATTCCTGAATTTCGAAGACACAATCATTACCTGCCTCCCACTCTCTAAACACAGATTTAAAGAGGGAAACAAAATAATTTGGAAAGACACCACCAGGCAAGATTTTAACTATTACAGCCTTCTCTTGGGTTGTCTAATAAAACATTAATTGGCAGTTCTTAAACACTCAGATTTACATTCTCCAAACCAATAATTTTTGTTATATCATTTCTTTTTTTAAAAGGGACACACACATATATAGTATGTATGCAATTTTATATTTAAAAAACCCTCAAACATATCAATGTGCTCATAATAAAGGCTGGATTAAACTAGATTCATTTTAGGTACAAATAGGTGTCTCTTACTATAAAAGGACCTGAATCAGCCTGTTAACACTACCATGTCAAAACCACCAAGCTACCCTTCACCTTAAAGCACTTAAATAATTTAAAGAAGTTCTTAAAATAAGAGATCTCCTCATTTTCTAGAAGAGGTAAGAGTATAAGACTTTCATCTTAATTCTTGTTTAGCAAACCCCATAGGCATTAAAAAACACATTAACAACTAAGCAACCTGTTATGCAAACACCAATGGAATGAAAACATAATCTGCACAGATAGGAAGTTTTGTAATACAGCCCTTAAGCTTTCAGTACTCTTGCCATTCATACCTCTGCCAGTTCTTGCTCATTCACGCTGGCAGTGGCACTGGCTTGCTTTCCTGAAGTCTGTTCATTGTCAGATCCGCTGGCATCCCCTTTAGCATAGCTATGGACTGTAAGCACCCCAGCTGGCCCAGGAAGAGTTCGTTTTGCCAACAGATCAGTCGATTCAGAGTCTGAAGAACCAGAATACGCAGGCGAACTGGACTGAACACTGGACGTTGCACTCTGCTTTGAAGGTGGCAACACTGAAGTGGAATTTGAAGCATGTGAAATGGAGAGATCCAATGCAGCTGCTTCTTGTTCTTCCTCTTCTTCCTCCTCAAGCTTCACTGTTTTCAGTTCTTCAAATTTGGCTGAGTCCACACGATCTAGAAGAAAGGATATACTGACTTCTTCTGAAGTCTGGGCAGTGGAGACAATATTTGTGCAACCATTTGCACAAAGCCAAACAGGAAAGCAAACTGCTACACACAAAAAAGTGACACTAAGTCATGTAAAGTGTAGATCATTAATTCAAACACCTATAAAACCATGGGTGGCTTAGAAAGAGAATAAAAGCATCTGCTCATGGCCTCTTCCAGCACAAGAACTACGGTATATCAAACAAAACCAGTGGGCAGTGAGTTCAAAACAAAGAGAGATGGTCCTTTATACAGTGTAGCTAAACAGCCAAACTCCTGGCCACATGATGCTGTGGGTAAGAGGTTACAAGGGTTCATGGGAGACTTAACAGAAGAAAAATAAAACCCCAAAACCAATAAAAGATTATTAAATACAAGCTGCAAAGGGCTGGAAAACAGAATACCAGAGGGAGGCATCACAGATGTTTGCCCTGTTCTTATATTGTTCCAAAGGCCACTTGCTCCTCCCTTAAGAGCAAGGATAACTGACCCATTACAAGCCACATTAATTTTCCTCCAGCCTACTTATTACAAAATTACAAATAAAACATCTATACAGCATACCAGACCCACACTACCAGGAAGTGCGCATATGTTTTACTAAGCAATTTCTAGAAACAGGTCACATTACACAACAGGGATACAAAGGACCTTAAGACTACTGAGGCATCCAATGGATTTCTGTATGCAGGCAGGCAAAATAAAAAGGGCAAAAATAAAAAACTAGAAACACCAATTTCTTAAGCAAGTCTCATGCAATACTTCCTGTTCCCTTTAATTCAGCTGAAGGGCAACATCCCCACGACCTATCTGGTCAGTCAGTCACTGAAGCAGCTACAGGATGGCTGCCTACACCTTTGCTCTCCCCCAACTTTTTTTTTTACATAATTGTCACTGGGGAGTTATCCACAGATAGGCTACAAAGGCTAACAATTCAAGCTGTGGTTATTTCATTTATTCAAACCAGCAGCAAAAGCGTCAGACAAATTTAACTAAGGGGCACAATGTAAAATTGTTCAGATGCACTCTTTGGTCTTGAAAAATCAAATGGTAATATCTCAAGTCTCATGAAAGTGCTTGCCATGGCTCTGACAAACTAGTGTCTGCTTTTTTGGACACAACAACATCCTACCAACCAGCATTAGATGAAAGAGATGAAAGACGAAAGATTAAGCTCTAACAGCTTCTCTCCCTGAAAAATACTACCCTGTTCCTCCGTACCAGGATAAAGCTTGACACACAGTTACCTGGATGCTTGAGCCTTTGTTCACCTTGCTGCACAAGTTCACTCGTAGGTCTCTCACGAGGCTCTGCCATGTCCACTTCATACTGCGCAGAACTCAGCTCCTCCTTGGGGAAGGCCTCGCTCTCACTCACCTCCTGAGGCACTTCCAGGCAGACCCTGTGCCTTTTTGTTCCTATGCGATGCTTGGGGATGCTGCAGAAGACAAATCCATATGTCAGGTTACCAAACACGCAAGCACACTGAATTTCTGTCTGAATGCACAAAACACAGCCTGGTTTAGATCAGTGTTTTATGAGACAGCATCTGGCAAGCCAAATAGTTTCCGAATTATTCTGAAGTGTTTTCTTTGCCTTTACAGAAGCAGAGTCAGTAATCCTTTGGGATGACTCCTCAGCATCTGTTAATCATGTATTAAGCAGCTATGTTCTAGCCAGGCGTTCTTTACCTTAAACAAAAAGAATCCAAACAAAACCCAACCCAATGCAAAACAACAACAACAAAAAAACACCACCAAAGACAGCTTTAGGAACCGTAGCTGACACTGGCTGGGAAAGATTTAACTGCAAAATGTAAGATGATTAGCCTGCCCACCTTCAGCAACCAGGAACTGCACACCGATGTTGCAGCTTGCAGCACTGATGGTACTGCAATTTGCTACCATGATTCCAATACACCCCCTTTTTCTTCTGGCCTCCCAGTGTACGCTTCCAATCCAGGCTTTGGATGTCTGTCCAAAGACAAAGAACTACCTTCCAAGCTGGTGCATTTCCTGTATATCACAGACCATCATCAATGTGGACTCAAACAGTAAAAAAAAAAAATTAAGAGTAAAATGTATTCCCAAGAAAACAGATTGTTGCTAACTCTGACTGCTGTTGTTCTACCAGAATGGCAAACTTTCAATTGCAGCTGGGTCCAATTTCTAATAATCCAACAGAAAAGCAGAGGACTAAATAAAGCACTACCTTTTTGTCTCATCCCCATCCACTTCCTCTTTGCACGTCTCTCCTGTTTCCATTTCCTCAGCACACTGTTTCCCATTCTTGACTTTTTGCATGAGATCCCCTTTAAGGAACTCTGCTGCCTCTGGGGTTGGAAGAGCATGGTCAATGACAGTCACGTCCTTCCCGGCTTTCCAAAGCTTGTAACGATCTGGCTGGTACTTCCTCACAAACACATCCATGGAGATCTTCACCATGTCCTTTCGACAAGAGCACTGAAGTCACAGAAAATATTCCAAGTAAGGCCACATACTCAACAATTCTACTCTGCATTCCTATATCACTTTGCTTTGAGGAGGTTAACTGAAGGAAAAAAACCCCACAGTTAATTGAGCCTCAGAACTCTCAAGACTCTTTCCTAGGAAATCAAAAGGGCATATATTAAGTTACTAAAAACTGGGCTGAAAAGCCAGCAAAAATGACAAAACAGGAAACCAGATGCTATCATGATAACTAAGAAAGAAAGCTCACCAGCCTATTTAAAGAGTTGCTGGTAGAAGCTGACTGTTTTAAAATGAGCTTATAGAAAACCAGCCAGCAAAACCAGAGACTATAATGAGGAAGTTGGAGCCATACAAACTCTGGGCTGACCCAGAGCAGTAGAGGTTCCCCTCATCTGGGCATGGTTACAACTAGTGCTTCAAAGCATTCACTTCAATATAACTTCTGCAAACATAACCTGTGTTTGTAAGGCACTTCTACAGCGATGTAACACTATCCAGTCTAAAGGTTCAGCCAAGATACTTATTTTGATAAGTGACTTAAGTTACCAAAGTCATACTTGCAGGCTAAACAGTCAATAAATAATGGTTAAAATATCAGACAAAATACTGACGAATCCTGACCACCAAGCACACCCTTTCACCTTTGGAAAGACAACCAGTACTCTGCTTTTCTTTGAAGCCTCACTTGATCTACACAAAGCTAAAAACCCTGTTACATGCTATCCACAGCTCAAACAAGGACATGAAGCAGGAGGCTGACTGGACATGGTTACTGTATCAGAAAGCAGACATCGCATCGTAAATGGACAAAGCACTGAATTCACTCCCTTAGAACAAACAGTGGGGGCTTAATGAGCAGCAGAGCATTAGGTTATTTGTACGCAACAGGATGGCAACAGACCACTTACCAGTACAGACTGCTTCCCATACTCAATCCACCGAAGAGTAGCAAAGTTGGTAGATTCAGCGCAGTTAAAGCCATGATTAAAGCCAGCATGATAGCTATAAGGAAAGGTTATCATGAATTCTCCAGCCTCCTGTGTCACCTAGAAGACAATTGAGACACCGCATTGTTCACAACTTGAGTCTACTTGGTGGGTCTGTATAAAAGGAGCTCCTGTAGCCCTCATGCAGTGTATCCGAAACTCCCGCCCACAGATGGTGGCTGGAGTTACGTGCTACAATGGATAGACTTAAGTTCATTATTCTCCTACCTAGGTTAAGTATCTGTTTACTGGAAAGCAACACTCAACAGTTTTTTACTAAAACACAACACAACTGGTCAAAATAGCACCGAAGATGGTTATGCACATGAAATACTCTGTGACAAGCTATGTGAAAGTCATAAAGGTACTTATCTCCGTCAGCTACAGGTTTGGCTGAGCAGTATCTAAGGCCAAGTAAAATTTCTATCCACACACAGCTTGGAAATTTACTGCTATTTTCTTTTGCTGTTCATATTCAAGTACAACTCTCAGTCAGCCTTCCACTGCTGCTCTTCAACATTTCCCCACTGTCTAACAAAGGTTCATGACAACAAAACCCTTCAGCTGCCCACATAGATGTGACAGTGCTTCTGAATAAGGACTCAAAGACTAGATCTTCAACGTGTATGTGTGGGGAGCTGGGATGGCAGGTTATCACCTGAGAAAGTAAGGAAGTCTGTAACTTTACTAATGTAATGAAAAAAAATTAATAGGGAACAAGCCATATTTTCTATTGAGAAAGAAGATCACAGCAAACAAAATTAGCAGGGGACAAGTCTGAAACAAAAAAAGAACAATCTCTCTTCACTGAATACACAGCTAAGCAGCGAAGTTAATCTAACACAGGATGTTGTGTACAGTTTTAAGTTTAAAAAAAGAAAAAATATCAAAAAATCACAATAGACAGAGTCTTTGTTTTTAATAGTCCCTGACAGACTTTTCTGTCTCAAACTCTTTCAGGCCCCAACTGCTGGATAAACAGAGGTATAGTGGGAAAGGATTGCCTTATACCCACTGCCCTGTTCTTATTTTCCTCTCTAAGCATCTGCTATTGGCTGCTGTTAGAGATGAGACAGGGCTGCATGAACCTCTTGACTGAGCTGGTATAACCCTGATTACTTTTCTACACCTTATCAAATGGGATGCCGTATTTCTTCAGAATTGATGGAGAGATGAGGGTCATCTTGTGACGGAGAAACGCCTCACAGCTTTGGGCACTTCCTGGAAAGAAACCTGTTTAAAATAAAGGCAGGGAGAGATGTTACCATTCTGCTGTGAACTAAGTTAATTTTTTCAGTAATTTTTAGGAAAAGTTACTGTCTAAACGGTACTTTTCCCTAAGCCTACAAGTATGGACCACCTTATCTGAAGTGTGTTAGCTGGCATTCTGAAGAAAAAGGATAACTCCTGGAGATTTATCTTTAACAGATGCCAGTTTGAAAAAGCATAAGAAAGACCACACATAGAACAATCTTCCCTTGGCTATAACCTTCCAGTTCTAATATTCAATAGTTAAGGATTTTGTCATTAAAAGGTGAGACAGACCACAACTGCGTTATTTGTAATGTGACATTTCTTTTGTGTGTATACAACAAACACTCAGAAGTAATATAATCTATATTCTAAAAGTTCAGTCGTGCCAGCCTGCGCTCTTATAAATGTTACAGGTGTGTTGTACTCTAAAAGAGCTGAAAACCATTGTGGCTGTCCATCCCACCTTCTGCAAAAGGCAGGACATGAATTGCCCGATTACCTTTTGCAAGTCTTTCCAGTCGCTTCCCATGCTCTGGAGGGATAGAGTACCTGCAGTCATAAGAACAAGTCTGTTAAGTTCAAGTGACATGACAAAAATCTCAAGGTTTGACTGGAAAACATAAATGGATGTCAAGGCATGAATTACTTAAAAAAAAATCCTCCATCTCTACACTGTCTCTTTCAAAGTTCAATGATATAAAGCTAAAAATCTTTATCACAGACTTTTACCTCTCTATCCCAAGAAAAATCAAGAGCCAAAAGCTGACCATGTCCTCTACTGACTTTTGCTTAACTGTCGAGGGAGTAAGAAGTCTGATGTATTTAATTAGATCTGCACAGCAAAACATGAATTACAAGAAGAAAGGGAAGAGCACTTCCTGACCCATCTCTGCTCACAGCTGTGCAATCACTAGTATGCTCAGTGCAAGGAGGAACACAGAGCAAGAGAAAAAATGGAATCATCTCTCTCAGCTGCTCAGACCAAGATGGGACTAAGTCAGACGCAATGCCACATCCTTAAAATGAGCACAACTTGTGGCATGCTCTTTAGGGCTACGTCTCTCTCTTTCTGTACACACCTTTTTATGGACTCCACAAACTCCTAGTTGGTTTGACTGCAGTAAATGAAACCACCTACTTAGCTTGCTTTCGCTCTGGAATAGAGTGCTGTATTCTTGATGCGAGTTCCTTGTTAAATAAATCAGACTAAGGTATCAGCAAAGTTAACTTCTTCCAGTTACTACTGTAAAAGAAGCAATGGACAAAGGGTTTATCTGACTAAACTATTGTTTTGTGTTCCTACGCTATTGCCACTGCATGGGGTTGTTCATTGGTCACATCATGCTAGCTATTATTTTTTACTTCAAAGTTGTATTAGAAGGCAGCCAAAAATCCTAGTTTCCAACAAAAGTGCCATGGAAACAATTGTTGAAGTTGTTTGAGAAATTTGTGAACAGAAGGGAATGATTCACTCCTAAAATTCAACCCATGCTACAGAAAAATTCGGGAGCCTCCCCTAAAAACAATCATGAAAGCTCAGACGCTGGATGAACCGCTCAGCAAGATCCACTATCCTGCTTTTAGATCTACAATAAACAGCTACATTTCAAAGTCTGTTAAAAATTGCCTGTTCCCCTAGTGTCTGCATGACAACAGGCATATTACCTCTGTATGGTCATTTTAGAGCCTCAGGAAATCATAAGCCAGTTTTCCAAATTCTGGCCCTATCGCAGCAGAGAGTGTCCACCCTATATTATAATTCTGAAGAACTCTTTACATCAGGACAGCAAATGGACTTTCTAGAAGGTAACCAAACAAATGCTACTGAGGACACACACTGCTTTGCAGTTCCTTACAGGTTTCTAGTATTCTTGCCATCATATACAACTGCAGTGCAAGATCAGAGGGATGGTAATTCCTTTAGTCAACTCTCGTAACTTCACAACTTTGACTCTAACGCTTCATGGTATTGTTCTTCTGCACCTAGAAGCTTCCCTAGAAAAATCTTACCATGACTTGGGTTCCCCAAAATGCAAGTAATTAATACTGTAGAGATCCATGTCCTCGGTATGCCAAGCAAAGGAAGTTTTCCACATGCCAAAATATAGGTAAGGAGTATTCACTCCTTCAATGGTTATGCCGCTTTCATTCTCCACAATATCCAGGATCGTGTTCAATCTGCCAATATTCCACGCATCTACATGCTGCAAAACACAGGCCTCATGTTAAACAAGCATTATGAAGAACTCAACCACACAAATAAGGCGACAGTTGCAAAAGCTAGCAGATGCTTGTGACACAGCACATCAAGACAAATCATCTACTGGCACAGCTCAAACCATTAGCTAGTTCACCTAAAACAAAAGTTTCGCATGGTGTTAGCTTACATACTGATTGTTTACTAGCCACATTTATGGAGGAAAAAAAAAGTTATCAGCCAACTTAATGATTAGGAAGGAGAAATAATCATGAAGCTACAGACTTTACAGAGCAGAGAACAACAGCGCGAGCTCGAGCTGATGTCTGAACCCTCTTGAACAGAAACACTTTTCATTCCAAACATTTTTTAAAAGAATAAACCATCATAATTTAGGAGACTACCAAGTAGAATGCATACCCTTTTCTAATGTTTATCATCCTAACACATAATGGCTACAGAGCTGTCCCACAAAAACGCATGCAGTAGTGGATACCAACACAGCGTGTATTCACTGATCAACACTTCCAACTCCCATATGCCTTTCAGGACAAAGCAGTACAAAAGCAACACTTACACAACAGCAGTGTTTGCTTCCTTGAACTAAACTGTATTACACTGAACTTACACTAACAGAGGTCCCTTAGAACATTACCTCTATTAGCGTTCTTTAGCTACCTGGGATAAATGGAGAGTATGTTATAAACGTGGTTTACTGTGTTCCTGTCTACTCCAGAAGCTGGAACTCTGCTAAGACTATCATTAACTCTTTCTGCAAGTTAAGAGTCAAATGCTGCATCAGTATTTATGGAATGCAGTATACAGGGACAACCGTTACTTGAAAACCAAACCAGTTTTCTCACCTTGTCATAAAGCGTGCCATTAACATCAGCGCCGTAGATAGGGGCATTGAATGTAAGGTTCTTCCAGTACTTTCGTTCAAGGTCTTCAAAGTCCGTGTAGCGGGGTGTGCAGTACCTGAAAAAACAACAAAGATACTAAAGACTTTGCAGTTTGATACTTGACGATTCTAAACCAACATCTTCCACCACTGAAAGAATCAAAAGCTACAATAAAAACACCTAATACATGTTACCAGTCAGACCCCTAACTCCCAGAACAGCACTGACAGCAGCCACAGCTCTGTTCCTGTGAGACTTGGGAATGAAGGATCAGGAAGAAAATTACCTCGCCCATTTCTCAGTTTACTTTCATTTTTGCTTTGTGCACTTCTCTCGGGTCAGAAAAATTTCACTTTCTATTTGTTGCTACTTAGCAAGGAAGGATGTAGTCAAAACCAGAAATGATACAAAGAACAACTTGGGAAAAAAAAACCCCACACCAAAACCAAAGTTTTCTGCCACTGTAAAGGTAACATCCAGACTCACCTGCTAGTAAACTGGTCAAGCACGCTCAGTTTACCAACAAAATACCAGCTCTTGATGTCCATTCCCTGCTAACTATATACTGGCCTCTTTGTGCAGCACCGGGCGATCAAATTTACACTCTAACACCCGTTTAAATAGGGGTGTGTGTGTATACATATGTTATGTTCCAGACAATCACATATTTAGCATAAATGAGTAATTTTCATTGAATTGTTCTATTAGGGAAACAGAATCCTAAGATAACTGATGCGTACTGCTCTTGCAAGATAAAATAAGCTTCAGCGGACCGACTGCAGCTGGCAATTCCAACACTATTTCTAAACAGTTCTTTTGCTCAAACTCCTTTTAAAGCCATCTTTTCTCCGTCTCCTTTTTCACGTCAAGAACGTTCCTTTCTCTGCTACCCTACTCAGTAAGTATTTCAACGGTCTACCTCCTGGGGACGGACAGAGAGACTGACGGGAGCCCACAGTGGAAACGAAAAGTTCTGCCGGCATTACGTATCCTCCTGCCAGGTGACACAGGCCACAGAGGTCCCCCATCCGCACGGCCGGTTTCACAAGCACACGCCACCCGCTCAGGGCGTTACGGTCACGCCGCTGGTGGCACCGGCACCGGGGGCCCGGCCCGGGGCAGCCGGGGCAGGGGGAAGGCCCGCGGTGCCCATCCCCACGGGGACGCGGACGTACTTGTCGCTGTTGGCGATTCTCCTGAACTCGCGGACCGTCATGGCCTTCTTCTGGATGTTGTACTGCGTGAAGAGGCCGGACTGCCCCGTCACCACCTGCTGGATGGGCGCTGGGATGACGAGCTCGTCGATGTCATCGTAGCACCGCCGCGGCTTCCACTCCTTCGGAGGAACTATCTGCAGGAAGCAAAACGCACCCGCCGTAACCGCCGCCCGCCGCCCGGGAGACCGTCAAACTTGGGCCAACGGCCCCGAACACCCCCGGCCGGGGCCGGGGCCGGGGCCCAACGCCCCCCGGGGCCGGGGCCGGGGCC